TATATGGTGTATGATGTAAGTCCATGATAGACCTAGCACACATTCCTTTCATAACGCTTCATTTCTTGGGTTCACCTGTTCACTTAATTTGTATGATGTCAACCCAATTAGTTGTTCGTGTTACTTCCATTTTCTGGAATTCCGCGCTCTAAACCTTTTGAAACTTTGAATCAGAACCGATTTGCAGCTGGACCTATTGGCGTTTCTGAAGCGGAAATTTAAAGAGACCAACCGTGTGAGTCTCGAAAGGATAGTGTCTAAGCCCGGAATAGTCAATGTATTGGAATTTTTGTGCGACAAGTACCCAGACATGTAAGTTACATTTACGGAATATGCCAGTCGTGAATGATCCTCTGTTCGTAGCTGTATGCACGCTCCTTCTGCTGCAGAATTACTAGTACAAGAAGTTGCACTATGCAGGAATGGCTTCGAAGGCATCTACGTGATGTAAGCGAGGAAAACAATATGTCTAAGGCGACCATCCGTGTGATATTCGAGAGGATAGCGTATAAGGCCGGAGTAGACAATCGGCTGGTTTTCCGTATATGTAGGGGCTGGTTTTTGTACATGTAGGGGCTGGTTTTTCGTACATGTATTTGGATATGTAAGTGACATCTATTGAGCTGTTTGTCACGTTTTTCTTTGCGGTTGGCATGTTTAAATATCAACGATATATTGTGACAGGTGAAGTAAATTAGCCGTTTGACTGTAGAGAAGGTGGACTTCAAATCCAGCACAGTGTATGTTACGAGACTTTGTGGTAAATATATGTGAAGTGCGTCTTTGTGCATATTTACGCGGTGAGCTGTGTGGAATGGATAAGATTAGTTGCACGATTGCGCATATCTGCGGATCCAAGCAAGCATCTTTTATACCTACACGGCCACAATTGCACATCTAGAATTTGCGTACCAACCAGGTATGTGTCATTGTTTTGGACTTTCCGAGTCGCATGTATGATAGGTGCAAGCAACCCCAACGACGTTGTTCGCGTGACTATGTATGAATATGCGTGAGTGGCTATATGCAAATATCTCAGTAGCCAACCGATGCTGTTTTCGTAGATTGGGCGTCTGGCTAGTTCCCACTAAAAGAGCGAGACCTGGGTATTTCCGTCTGTGAGCTTATCGATTCATCGTTTTGTTCTCATTCCAATAAAATCAGGGTGAACCAGAGCACGTTAGACCAGGTGGCGGCGTCGCCTGACAAGGCACAAGCGATTGCCTTGCTTGCTAGTCGTGATCGGCTGTGCTACAAAGCAATGGTATGTTCGTTTAGTTGTACATATATATGTGTATAGTCAAGCAAAGAAGTTTGTATACGTAGATGCATGCGAGTGTTTTGAGATTACATCGTAGCTGGCTACACATATGAATAAACTAGCAAAAGTATTATTGACTTACATGTCCGATAGATGCTCACATTCGTATACGCATTTCGTGGACAATCCGTACACCTATCAATCTACTCACAGATTGTTTACTGATAAAATGTAACAAAGCAACACGTCAACATAGCAAATACACGCATGTGCTTGATATATATGCACATAGTCAAAAACTCAGTTTATGTTCAACCGAAATTGTGTTGTTTAGGAAATATTTGTTTGGACGTTTGGTAGTGAAGTGGGGTGCGCCGCGTTGAAATGGCTGCCGTATGGGGGCCTGTACATCACTGGCGGAACAGCATCTCACAATGTACAGCGACTGAGATCTGATTCCACGTTCATGGACGCCTACTATGACAAAGGGCGAGTCAATCCGTTGATGAGACAGGTATGTGTTACTTACTTATAACACTTGGGTATGTGTTACCTACTTTTAACACTTGGGTATGTGTTACCTGCTTTTAACACTTGTCAGATGATAGATACTAGACGTGCAGATTTTAACCCGCTGCGATAACCACTGGACTACTCCTGAGAAGGAACGTGTAAACATTTTTGGGATATATTATAATTACTGCAGTCGATCGAAGATACCTGTGCCGGTTGTTATTCGCGCACAGTGCCAAAATCACGCTTGCTAAACTCTCCCCATGCTGTAGCGTATACCGAAATGCAGAGAATGAGGAAATATTTTTACTAGTGGTATGGTTGTACTTTTCTATCCGACACAAATGCCCCTAAGTGCATGTGTACACCTTCACTTGGTGTATACTGGGTGTTATAGTGGTGGGCTTCACTTCTGTTGTTAGCTTGCTCATTGTAATTCTATCCTGCTCTTCTATCAATAGGCTTACTCATGCTCACAATTGGGCGTTGCAATTAAAACACAGGTCCCCGTAAAAGTAGTGGTTGCGACAGATCTGTGTCTGCGAGGAGTGATGGTAGTTGCCTACCGGATATTTCAAGAACGGTTGCGTAGAAAGACCTTTAAACCCATTCTTGTTCCGCGGGCAGCTGTGTACTCGGCTATCACCATCGCCTTTGTAGCGTACGCTGTGAGGTATAGATGGGGTGGGTTCACGTTCATGCGCAGAGTCGGCTGGTAACATAAATCAAATATGAGTGACAGATCTATAAATAACCCCCAATTTAGAACAACTTATCGATGTATGTTTTTACAACATGAGCGTATGTATTGCAGTTATGCGGCTGACTCGGATTTGATACATCCGTCGCGTATGCTGTGAGGTAAAGATGGAAAGGATTTAGTCCCTTGCGTAGACATCATTAGTAATATACTATACTCGAGTTTGTGTGACAGATTAGTGTGACGGAAAATTCGAACTTTGTATATAAACTGTAAAGCACCTAGCTTTTTCACTTGTAAGTCTTTGATGGCAACGCGGCCGGTAGATGCACAAAATATACGCATTTGGTCACTGAAGAAAACAAAAACAAAAACACTTTTCGCTCTATCTCTGTAATCTAGCTTGCCATAGAAACGTGTATGAGCAACGTCCTTGTTTTATTAAAATCTTATAAACCATCTGCACAAAATCCCGTGAAAGGGTATTGTGCGATAGGCCAATTCGTCCCCTCGCATCAATGCAAATTAATGGTTAAGACTTAGGTATGTGTACAATAGTGACGGCACAAGCGATATTTGTCACACCTGCGCAATATGATATGCGGCCAAATATATACATATTGCCATATAGCTGAGTATATTCCCAGAGAAAGCAACTGCCGAGAGATTGATTTTAGATCTTCGCAAGATCTGGAGTCTCGAGTATCTGTAAAACTAACCTATGTCCCTTTCTCTTTAAACCTTTTTAAAATCAATCGTTTTTCTGTCAACGTTATTCGATTTTGCTATTAATAAAAAAAATAGTAAATACAATCGTGATTTCAACCGTGCATATTTCTCGAATGAGTTTTTTATTTAGGTTTCCAATAAACGTAGGTTTTCCGTTTACGTTCAACGTTTACTGCATTGATGCAAAACGAATTGATGTTAGCCAGTGAGTCTTGAATCTGAATGAGCAGATAATAAAAGTATTCAAATTGAGAAATTTTGGTATCGATACATCGCTTCAAGTCAATTACTCAAGTGAACCCCCACTCCGGTGTCTATCATTGTAGCATGATATCACATCGATTCGCCATGCTGCACACACCAGTACCCGCCTATCTATTCTCGTACGATTCCTTCCATTCCTACCTACAAAAAGGATTCGTTCACATTTCTTCTGTACATGTTATGAGAGTGTGTGAACAGGAACCACCATGAGTACTATATGCTAGAGATTATTTAAAGAGCCTGTAGAATGACCAACTTATACTCCGTATATTACAGTGGCAGGCCACATCAATATGCTCCACATTGAGAGTACAGTAAGCTGCTCCACTGTATCTCTATTGAAGACTTCTGTATCATACGAGTTCTTCAACTTCACAATAGAAAGCAACGAAGTGTGTGTGCCACATAAAGATACTGGTCTCTAGATGATTCTCCTCTTCAACTTCACAATAGAAAGCAACGAAGTGTGTGCCACATGGAGATGCTGGTCTCTAGATGATTCTCCTTACTAATTTTCTCCCAGTATTGTGCGTCGTCAGCCACCCCATTTTGAATACGGCAGTGTGTGCACAATCATCATTCTCTGTTTTACGCGAGTGCAAGTGCATTCATTGGTCGCCATCCACCCCCCCCCCGCGCGCCCGCTATTGGTTGATAAGAATATATGCTACTGCCAGCTTGGAATTAATAACATTATCCTTATTGGTATAGATGGCGTGCTCTCGAACTCAGCCGTGAGACAAGGAAACCGCAGGAATGAGCAAACCCATTTCCCAACAATTTCAGAGACACTGGACGCGTCAGTGTGCTGTTTTCGCATTTCCGATTCCCTCAAAGCCTCACTATACGAAAGCTACAGTGATACGTACGGGGTTGCTGGGCTCCTTATGGGGGTGCAGCAACATCGCTTGTTCGCTTTTCCGTATTAAGTACGTACTCACGCGAGCAAATGTGTAGGCGTGTACGTGACCTTCATTCCAACGCAGAAATCATACCTTTCGTCACCCACTCAGATTGTTCTGCGAATGTTCCCAGAATTCCTCTAATGCTATCTCCGGGATACATAAATATATATATTCTTACAGAGACATATCTCGGTCCTATTTTTTCTTTCCTTTCTTTTTTGAATTAGTTTTCTTGCGCCCCATAGTCGTGTTTGTATCCCTCACCACAGATGAATCCGTACTCATTCCCGAGATGGCCACGATCTCTGCGCACCCCTGTGGCGTTGGTTTTTGTGGCACATTTATCAAAAGGAATAATAGAGTCAATACATGCATATAGTTGTATGTATATCGAAGTTGTATGCTTAAGTGTATATCCGCGTGCCCGGGTATATAGCGCGTGCACTGGTGTTAAACGCACACCTGCAATAGTTCAGATACGTGAATACATAACACTGAATCAGGGTATTAGAGGTTTCCTTAAAACTATATATGCAGTATTTTCTTGTGCGTACAAATATACACAAAGCTATGACCATGCTTGTATCTATGTACTACTTGATCATTGGTGTTACAGCATAAATCTTAACATATACCAGCAGCCCCCCACAAATGCGTACATCTGGTTCACCTCATGCTTGATCCATACAGCGCAATACTCAAACCTTTACATTTGACAAAACACTCACCAACTCCCGTTAAACCATGCACATGAAAGGATAATCAATCAGCTGAGACTGTTCTAATTACGGTACATGCCCAGGGCAAACAGACGTACTATACACTTACGAACATTCACGCCGATTGTATACTCTACCAAAGCTTTCAGATTTAGCACTCGATATGCACATATACAGAGCCCATGCGATTACATACATCAGCCGCATCGGCCCCCAGTTGCTTGTCGAGTTTCTCCTTGGTGTCCAAGTAAAGCATTAAATCGTGCAATTGCTCCTGCAGTGCGCCATTGCGAAGAATGATGAGAACGTAAGTCAAATGAATGTACGTGAGACATGTGCGGAGTATCGATGGATAAAATACTAGTGCCTTAGTGTCCTACTTACCAGGCCAGGAAGTGATCTACTAAAGTCTATTTGAAGTACAGGGGCAACAGGATAACAAATTGGACACACAGCAATATCACCGAGCCCAAAACCCCACACATAAGATTTATATGTGAACGAGGTGTTAGTGCACGTGTGTGTGTGTTATGAACAAACAGCGTCAAATCACGCAGATGATTTTACAGGGTTCAATCCACGCACAAGACAGACTGCTGAAGATGCACTAAACTCCTTTTGTTCACTTTGTCATATGCACTTTTCTCTCCCGCATCTAATCTAGCGGAATTTTAACTGAACCATCGACGGAGATACAAACTGTGCGTTACACATCTTTTCGTCTACTATAAATAAATATACACGTACAGATCTGCACATAAATAATTTACAATTGATATACAAATATACATCTCGATA